GTCACCGACGAATGACTGTGCTTTAGCCGAGGCTTTTAATTAAATTTGATTGGATGATCCCGCAGTTGTGCCATAGCCGAGAGTTTGAGGTACAATTGCTCATATTGTGAACATGTCCTCATTCTCCTCCGGAGTCTACGCGCGTCGTGGCCATCACGGCCATCAACAAGGCCATCAGTGTCTGCGACAAGTCGAACAATTGTGTGCTGCACTTGAACCAACCACTCTGTTGGTCGGATTCAACTTGCAATTGAGATCCTCTTGGATAGCTCATAGTCTAGAGGCATATTCCTTCATTGCCCTTGATAGGGGATGTGCCGACAGACTCCAAACTTAATCTAAGTTGGTTGAGCCGCCGTTTGGAGCAAATACATTTGCTACTGTGAGCTCTGACCCTTGCCGGAATCATCACCAGTTGCAGCCAAAGCATTCATCCACACGTTACACCCTTAGCCAGCTGCTCGGGCGAAGCACCAACTCTCGTGAGATGATATAAGCTATTTAAGAATAGTGATAGCTTGCTGGAAATATAACACAACCATAGAAATGATAAAGTTTCATAGGTGGCCATTTTCCAGGCTTATCAACGCGTCGACGACGGGCGCGGTGGCTGATGGAGATTTGTTGCTTGTACGAGCCAAACATTTGCGTTTCTTGCTCTCGGTCGCCGGCTTGCTCTCCGATGCCTCGCTGTTTATGAAGATGAGCACCTCACTACGGGGCCATTGAAAGCAATACTTACAGAACACGGTATGCCGCGACGACGGCGTCAACCGATGCTCTCCACAGGAACGCGATCCAACTCTCCACCACATCTGTGTCGAGGCCATGTGATAGCTGCAGGACGGCGGCGTATTCGTAAAATAGATGCGTGGGTTGCTCGCTCAGCATGCCCTTCTCGCCGTTATATATGCCGCTGGCAAAAAGAACGGCGGCCACGGTGCAGTTGGCGAGAAGCTGTGGTAATACAGCCTGTGTGATCTCGTTAGCATGGATTAGGAAAAGAAGGAACCACGCACACCCAGGAGCTTGTCCAGCTCCTTTCGTTTCCCATTCGTTGTGCTTGCACGCACTAGCCGCCCCACTCCCGCCCACACAAGTCGCCGTCCTAGCTCCCGCCGCCTCTCACACGGTGTGCGCAACCTGGCCCACGCCCGCTCCTCCAGCGACAAGAATTCCCCCAGCACCTGTGGGATCCGGCTGTATATCACCTCGAGAACTGCCTCTAGAAGGTCGGCTTCGCGGGAGGTATCAACGTGAGATATCTGCTTGGTCCGGCGGCACATATTGAAAGAAACCCAATTAAATGTTGAAGACGGTGGAAGAAGAGGTAACGCGTAGTCCGAAACTGGTCGATTCGGGCAATGCCATCACTCTGAATCTGTGCTTAGTTCATGTCATTCAGCATTTTGCAAAACCAGCAACTTGACTTACAACGAGAAAAGGCCACAAATGTCCGGCTTGTTGGTGCATAAAACTCACAATAAAGACTTTGGCCGCAGAATCCACAAGGAAAACACCAAAATCGAGGGCCTGGTTCAAGGACTCGCATTCCATGGATGTTCTCGGCAGCCATGTAGGCCTTGAACCGCACACCTCGTTCTGGGACCAGTCGGCAAATCTTCCTCAACTCTGCAAATGTCTCAACGGCGCGCCCGGCAAACCTCCACGTACAGATATGATCATGCAATGGAACCCTGAAGCGATGTTTAACCAAGCACCGACGTGTTTGGCCTCAAACTATTGTCTCAAATGACACGATTATCTCCTCGTGGGTCCCTCTCTGATCCACACAGCAACTATATTTGTCACTGGGACCAGGAACTTGGGGAGGCTGAGGGACAGGCCTTGATACCTACGGTCGACTCGCCTGCGCGACTCCTCATGATGTGACGCCAACGGCCACCCTCCGTCTTCGGCGCTCTTGCTCATTTGTTTCGGCTCGTACCCGGCCAAGTCGCAACACTATGATGCATGAGGGACTCGTTCCGTTGAGGGTGGTGAAGCTAAGGACGCACGGACAACAGCTACGATCAGCGCCTTACAACGTCAAAGGCTGCCATCGTACTAGTTTCTTGAGGGATTCAATCCCAATCCTGAGCGTGCGGCAAGTACTTCCTTTTGACTCTTGCCACTGGCTGCCTATCTGTAAGCTAACCATGCACTAGCCCTGACACTCCCGGCGTCGAGTCTCGTCGCATTAATTGGTCCGACGGCCGCAAAGACGCGGCGTCCCAGACGATCTGCACAGCCCAAGACTGTGTTGAATCGAGTTGAAGGATAGAAGCCGGAGGGTGCTGTTGTCGATGCGGGACTTGCCCCTCCTGCAGCCCCTCGTCCGCCGTGGTCGGATTCGCCGCCGCCGGCAGCGCAGTGTGGGGCGCGAAGCTCTGGTACTCGATGCGCACATACACGGGACGCACGGCAGCGGCAAAGTCGTCGCGCGCGCGAGGCCGGCGGGGGGAGGGTGTGGAAGAGGAGGGTTTCAGGTCTTCGACTGCGAGCGGTCGCATCGAGACGTAGGCGGGTACCTCCTTCAGGACCCACCGGGTCTTTCGTTTAAATTACAAAAGAGAGAAAAAACATTGCATTCTGAAATACGAGCCAGTTGGTTACAGATTCAAACCTCTGTTACTCCGTTCGTCGAGACCAAGAAACTGAGAAAGAAAAAAAAATCAATGATGTGATCAATTGCCTCTTCCGTCCTTCCACTATATTGGTCCTTCCTCGAAACTGGCTACAGTGTACTATAATCAACCCAAGAATCTCTTCCTAAGAGGTGTGGTTCGACGTCAGTCTTGTTCGAGCCTGAGGCAATCTTGTTCGAGCCTGAGGCAATCTGTTTCCTTCATATCAAGCCGTCTTCCAGGTGTGCAAAGCCACCAGTCCGACCTCATGGGCCACGAAACACTGGCAGCCTGCCTGACCACATTCACAGCTGTTTCTGCTTTCCTTCCTACTGCCACCTGCCCGAGGATTGAAATATCCAACGAACCAACGGCGGTCGCTGCCCGGGGCTCCTCTAGGCAGTTTGGTGGCCTCTCCGACGATTTTTGCGCAAGTTCCGGGGAAGAAAGAAACCGGCTACATACATAGTTTTTCAATTGGATTGCGCCGTCCCTATCCTCGCGGCTTGGTCAAGATCGCGAACATTTAAATCCTGAATCCCGAAGGTTCTCCGCATCGACGAGCATCTCGACGTCAAAGCTGATTATTTAATCATGCCATGTGCAGTGCAGCACGGCGCCTTAATCCACGCGCAGCTCAGAGCCTTTAAACAAGAAGAAAGTCGTCACGTGGTCACACCTCCTTTGACCAAAACCACCTCTTGCCGCCTCACCATCTCGCATTGTGAGTTTCTAAATCGCCGTGCGTGGTCTCGCCACCTCACAGCGGGTTTGTAGCATTCTCTCAGATGGATTACTCCGCTCTCGTCGCTCTCGCCGTCACCACCCTTCGTGCCCGCAAGCGTCAATTTTCGAATACCGAGCAGACCGCGCCCAAAAAGGGCAACACAGTGCGCTTCCGCACCGGCGGCCTCAGCGACCTCTTCACCGGGCTACATGCCGAGCTTTATGATACCCTCCGCCATCACAGCGAGCTTGGGATCGCGGCGGTCACGGTAACTATAGCCCACATTTCGCAGCGTAACATGGTGCTTATTGTTATGCAACAGGTCATCATGGCGGCCCTCGAACCGGCGCTCAGGAACGGCGAAGGATTCTTTATCCCGGACGCCAAACCTCACGACTACGTCGGTGCAATCGTCGGCGCGATATCGCGATGAGGCGGCCAGGTTGGTGTGCGCGCGTGGGTAGAGGAGGAGCTGGGCGATGTGCTTGACGCCGTCGGAGAGGCAGCCGGACCGCTCATCACCAAACACAGCATCAACGCACTCCTCGACGACTTTAACAGTCTCGACCTGGAGTAAGCCACGCTCACGAAACCCTCTTCCTTGCCATTCATGTTCCACCTACTTAGGGCTGCAGTAATTGCTGCCCCCGTACCCGACACGACGAGAGAGGCCATGTTGGTCGCGCTGAGGGCGGAAACGGAGCGCACAAGTGTATGTATTTTATTCTCTGACTGCTCGTTACTTACAATGGATCCCCATCCCCAGCCACGTCTGCCGGTTCAACGTCCCGGCCATGACTTTCGATTTGTGCCGAAGTATGAAGACAAGGAGAACGGCGAGTCGCGCATCACGTTGAGGCGATGCATCGTCCTAACTGCTTCAACAGCGTCCCCTAGTTCTCCTCCGTCTAAGAGGTCGCGCCTCGGCCCGCTCTTGCTTCTGCCGTCTCCAGCACTCAGTGCACCCCGCACGCCTTCGCGCCGCGTTCGTACTTCTGGACGCGGAGGAAATGAAGCCCTGGTGAGTTCACCACAACTCATTTGCTTCATCATGTTCATCTCACCAACATTCGCAGATCTCATTCTTGCCTCGCGCTCTCACCTTCAACAACGAGTTCTCGCTCCAACCCCCGATGGAAGGCGTTACTCGGGACTCTACAGCAGAGTTGGCTCCTAGTTGTAAGTTTACATAACATACTGCTTTGCGTCAACATCTCTTGGCTTCACATAGTTTAAATAAATACCTCAATGTACGTCGAACATTTGAGAAAATACTAGTAGCTGGGCGTTTCCTTGTGCTTGCTAGCTTGACGGGTGATCGCGTCTTGTTTTCGATGTACTAGTAAGAGATATCGCCGGAAGGACAGAGACGACGGTTGGACTGAAGTCAAACTGAAGAGAGAAAGTTCGAGCAAGGAATTTCAGGATCGAATTGAGTTTGTGGAACCAAGCAGAAGACTTCAACAGCCCTCGTAGGCAACGTTGCCTTAGATAACGGTACAATGGGAGAATGTCGGCAATGAAAAAAAAACCCCTTCAATCGGACAAACAAAAGAGTGGACCAGACACTGCGACGTATCCACTCGCGGCTTTTTCCACAGTTATGAACTCCATCACCGCTTTAACCAAGAGCATCACCGCTTTAGTGCCCTGAGGGAATCGAACCCTCGACCACTTCGGTACTGAAGTGATCTGTTCAGTGGCGTGAGAACCACTGAACCAAGCGGCGGTTGAAAAGAGCCTCGAGGCGCCGGTATGTATAGGAGGGTTGCTCGCAGTGCAACTAGCCTTTTATTTTTCCCCTCCAGTAGGCGCGATCGGGAGTTCAATATTCGAGGCCGGCCACAGAGATCAACCTGTATGTATTTTATACGCAAATACGGTTCAAGCAATCGGGCTCAGGCTCCACATAGGTTGGCGAAAAATGCTGAAGCAACCTCAGAGCCCAGTTTCGTTTTCGGCTTTCGTGTTCAGGTTCTCCAGATTTTTTTTCGTCATTTTGGACTTGAACATGTCCAGGCGGCGAAGTAGGCCTGGATTCCAGATGTTCATTTTGCTGCGGGTACCATAGGATCCCAGTGCTCTGCAGCATCTTTTCTACTGCGCGGTGGATTGTCCCATTTGGTTCTTAACTCACGCCTCCGCCTCGCCCTTAAGTAGCATGGACTATTTCCTATTTTTGTAGCAGGTTGCGGGAGCCATGACCGCGGGTTGGAGGTATTGCATTATCTCGACTGGCGAGATATCGAGTCGTCCAGTGCGAATGCTGCGGTAATTGATGAATACGGGGGAGCGGTCACGGTTTGGTTGTGGTCGATTATAATACGCTGTAGCCCGCAGAACGGTTGGAAGACGAGAATTTGTCAAGGGGGCGAGGTTACCGCCGAAGAAACTTACTATCAGTTTGACGCGCTGCAAGCGCATGCCGCCAATGTTGGCCGGTACGGTACATAAAATATCCAGAGTTAACGGTTGTATGTAATTCGGCGATTGAGTTTGAGTCCTCACGGTAGTTGAGGCGTCCATGACGATAATTGCGGACACTTGGGATGAAAGCGAGTGAGATTGTAATTCGAATGAGGCACGCTGAGGGAGATTGCCTCATCCAGGGAGGAAAAAAAAATTGAGTTGAGTTCGGTGATTGAAGTTGCGACGATAATGCGGGGATGATAATGACTCGACAATAATCTTCACGGCCGGTTAACATGAAGGAACAGTGCGCGAGGCAGGGAGATCGTGATAATGAGAGGGGGTAAAAAGGGATGGGGAGAGTGGATAAGCGGCGATGAGAGGTTGAGAACTGATTAAATGGGCAGATCGAGCATAGGGGATAAAGGACTTGAGGCGCAAAACCTTGAAGGCGCAGAGGAGTTTTGAGTTCAGAAGGACTGGGCCTTTTGCGGATAAAATAGATGACTAGAGAGTCCAATGATTTGCGTCTTCGAGCGGGTCCGATGCGGTTTTGGAAAGGGAGGCGTGGCGAGAGATGGAGAACAGGTGATGGGAAGAGATGGAGGACACTGCTGAGAGTGGGAGAACAGTCACTGGGCGGGAATGGATTGCAAGATGAGATGAGGTTGTTTGGGCGAAATTCATCCAGCGGATGGGTCAGAGACGCGCGCGCGCCAGAGCGATTACGAGCGCGCGGGATGCTAAGATCTTAGTCATCGCGATCAAAGGAGGCTTGCTCTTGACCATCACGTTCGCTCCGAGTCTGAGATTTGGCTTACCTCGACTCACCTCGGTTCTCTATGTCCTCTGTGGTTTTCTTAGCCTCCCACCCATCCACCCTTCAAAAGATCTTCTCCCGTCGTTTCATCCTGCTGAATCTTTCTATGAACTGCCAAGTCCTTTGGTTACTAAGAACTACTATTAATACGACCCCAATGCGTCTATAGTTGTGCGGCCATTCGGTATCCTCACCAGGCCCCGCTGCTCTTACGACGTCCCGCTGTTCTTACGAAGCTTTCGATGGCGCCGGCTTTTAGAGATGCCCGCAATGGATGACGCATTGTTGCTGACCTGAAGGCGAAGACTCTCGGCTGTCCTCCGCGCACCCAATTTATCTCGACGGCTGTCCTCCGCGCACCCTTTGCTTAAAATCCCTTTGCTTAAAATCCCTCATGGCTGTAGACTTCCGCGCCGCGTCGACATGGTCTTTTCAAACCCCTTCCACCCGCCCCCAGCCCCGCCTGCGTTTGGCACTGGAAAAATATTGCCCCAGGACGACGCCTCGTGCGTGCTGCGTGGAAACATATCCATAGTATCTTACTTTTTACGCAGGTACCTCTCTCAACTCGTCGCACACTGGCTAGGCCCGTTTCTCGATGTAGGCTTCTCCCGTCCCTTGGAAAAAGAGGGTATGTTAAGCCAGTCTCCTGTGTCCAAACTAACGCTACGCAGATCTCTGGGAGCTACCCGAGCCGCATCTCACTGGACCGACAACAGACACACTCGAGGCCAAATTCTATCCCCGGTGTACCCCAGAACAGCGCCCCAGCGCCTTCCGCCATAGACCGACCGAGTCCGTCGCCGAAACCGCCTCCACCGAGTCGGAAAAGAAAGCCGCGGCCAAAGAAGAAACATCACAAAAGCCGAGACGCTTCTGGCAGCGAAAACCCAAGCCCGAGTTTGACTCTTCTCTTTTCAAGGCCGTTTTCGCCACCTTCAATCATCGCATATGGTTTGGCGGCGTTCTCAAACTCTTCGCTGGTGCGTCGTCTCCTCTGGCGCGTACATTATCCAATGACTGGCTCCAGATACGCTGAAAACCACCACTCCCCTGCTCAACAAAGTCATCCTCGCATGGCTGACCAATTCATATGTCTACTACCATCTTACGGATGCGGAAAAAGCATCGGGAACCCTCGCCAAACCGCAGGGGATAGGCTATGGAATCGGCCTCGGAGTCGCCTTGTTCGTGATGCAGGGTGTGTATACTGTCTCGCCCTTAACCCCACTAACACTGTCGCAGAGGTCTCCAGTCTCATGACGAATCATTCTCAACAAAGTCCGTAGTCGTTGTATCGCGAAGCACTCCACTGACAGTGTCCGCAGTCATGATGACGGTCGGGCTCTCCGTGCGAACCGCCATTATCGGAAGTGTTTTCCGCAAATCCATGCGTCTCTCCGCGCGCGCGCGCCTCGAGCATACGGCGGGCCAAACGACCACGATCATCAGCACCGATTCTGCGAGACTGGACAGGTTCTCCCAGCTGGGCCACAAGTTTGTATTTTTCATGCATCCTATTCATTCGCTAATCTCTTCGCAGTATATGGGTCGCGCCGATTCAGGTATGTGTTCCCTCCCTCCTTCCCAGTATTATATCATGACGGTCAATAGATCATAATCGGCGTCGGTCTCCTCATCGGCAACGTACGCCTCCTCCCACTTCCTCTCTTCCAATCCCACTGATTATTCTCTCCCAGCTCGGCTACTCCGCCCTCGTCGGCCTCGGCGTCCTCCTCCTAGGCTTTCCCCTCCAAGTCATCCTCGTCAAAATCATATTCATGCAGCGCAGAAAGGGCGTCAAGATCACCGACACGCGCGTGCGTCTCACGAACGAGGTGCTGCAGGGCATCCGGCTGATCAAGTACTACGCCTGGGAGCGCTTTTACACGCATCAGATAACCAGTCTGCGGACGCGCGAGATCAGTACTGTGCGCAAAACTGCGTGCGTTGTCCTTTCGTCTCCCTCACTTTTCGTACCGACACCGACTGACTCGCGCGTGTGTACGCAGGATCGCGCGTGCGGCCCTCATCGCGCTAGTGGCACTCATCCCGGTCCTCGCGTCGGTGCTATCCTTCGTACGTTATTTTCCGCTCGATCTGCGCACCGACTGAAGCTGGGACCGCACGCAGATCACCTACGCGCTGAGCGGACACGACCTCAACATCGCCATCATCTTTAGTTCCCTCCAGTTCTTCAATGTCCGTCCCCTCCCTCCTGCTTCCTATTTACTATGTACTCAATTATGCATTTTCTTAGATCATTCGCGCCCCCCTCACCTTCCTCCCCTTCGTCCTTAGCGCGCTCTCCGACGCTTTGGTCGCCTTCAAACGTATCGGCGACTTCCTCACCGCGGAGGAGCTCCCCGACCCGTTCGAGATCGACGTGGGAAGGAAGAACGCGGTGGAAGTGGACGCGAGCTTTGCGTGGGAGACGGCGGGGAAGGTGGATGCCAAGTTTGGTCCTGGGGCTGGCCATGGAAAGAAGGAGAAGGCGATGGAGAAGGCGAAGGCCAGTGCGGCTGCGAAGGGGAAGAAGGGGGCGGTGCTGCCAATTAGTGAGAAGGAGAAGGGGATGCAGACGCCGGGAACGGGGACGATAACGCCGGTGGAGGAGGAGAAGCCGTTCGAGTTGAAGAACTTCAAGCTCAGTGTGCCCAAGGGCGCGTTCGTCGCTATCGTCGGGAAGGTTGGATCGGGCAAGGTACGCTTTCTGAAATTCGTCTTGTGGCCGTGCTGACGTCGTCAACGTAGAGCTCAATCTTGCAAGCGATGATCGGCGAGATGCGGCGGACGTCTGGCACGGTGCGTTTGTTCCCCGCTCACACATGCGCGTATCTCAAGTTCTTACCGGTCCTGTGCGTGTAGGTCGTCTTTGGCGGTACCATCGCATACGTCCCGCAGACCGCGTGGATCAGAAACGCGACGTTGCGCGACAACGTGCTCTTTGGGCAGGAGCGGGATGAGGAGAAGTAAGTGCAGTTGTTTGACCTCGAGGGCAGCGCTGATGACTGCGTCTGTAGATTCCGCAGAGTCATCCGCGCGTGCAGTCTGGAGCGCGATTTGGAGGTACTGCCGTTCGGGGAGGAAACCGAGGTAAATGCCTTTACGTTCTAGCAGCGAAACGTGCTCACGGGCCGTAGATTGGCGAGCGCGGAATCAATCTGAGTGGGGGACAAAAGGTAGACATCCTGCGCCATTAAAATTAAATATACTGACAAATATCTGGTAGGCGCGCGTGTCCCTTGCGAGAGCAGCCTACTCCACGTCCGACATTATCCTCTTGGACGACCCGCTCAGCGCCGTGGATTCTTTTGTTGGCAAGGCCATCCTAGAGGACTGTATTCTCCACGGGCCGCTCGCGGATCGCACACGGATTCTCGTCACTCATGCCCTGCACGTCCTGGACAAGGCCGACTACATCTACGTACGCTCGCTTGTCTGCTTCCACGTGTACTTCCCGCTCATCGTCCACAGGTAATGGACAGCGGGACAATCA